CTTTCTTCACGCTCAACCTCTTCATTGGCGTCATCATAGAAAATTTTAATATGCAAAAGAAAAAGGTCGGTTGGTGTGTGTGTGTATATTTGTGTGTGTGTGTCTGTGTGTCTGTGTTTACGAATACCAATAAATACACGTGAGAATACCTCTTAAAAAATACTCAGGCCGGTGGCTCGTTAGAAATGCTGATGACTGAAGATCAGAAAAAGTACTACAACGCCATGAAGAAGTTGGGCTCCAAGCAGCCACAGAAACCAATTCCTAAACCAAAGGTTGAGGGAATCAATTCTTTTAATCAGTCAATCAATCAGTGAATCAATCATTCAATCAGTTAATCAATCATTCAACCATTCATTCTATCAATCAATCAATCAACCAACCAACCAATCAATCTTTTGATAATTATAATTTGTTATAATTTCGCGACACCATCCAAACCGCATGATCGACAGATTAAATTCCAGTTGATCCTCTTCTACATAACGTCCAGCCAGAAATTCGACATCTTCATCATGTTAATCATCCTTTTAAACATGACCACGATGGCTATCGAACATTTTGACCAGTCGGAAGAACTCACCAAAGCACTATACTGGATTAATCAGGTTATTTTTGTTCGTTTGTATGTTCGTTTGTATGTTTGTTCGTTTGTTTGTTCGTTCGTTTCGTTCATTCACATTTTCGCTCAGTCATGCCTATACGTTCATTCAATACTACTACCATCAATGATCAATGAATGACGTCACAATCGTCATAATCACGTGATCCAGGTTTTTGTGGGCATCTTCAGTTTGGAGTGCGTCATGAAGCTTCTGAGCTTGCGACAATACTACTTCAAGCAGCCATGGAATGTCTTCGACTTCATCGTCGTCATCTCGTCTGTAGCCAGTCAGTAAACGTGTGTCTGTGCGTGTGCGTGCGTGTGTATGTGTGTGTGTGTGTGTGTGTGTGTGTGTGTGTGTGTGTGTGTGTGTACAGATCCCGGTCTATCACATTCAATGTGTGTGTAATATAATTTGCTTGCATTGTGTCTTTGCTATGTTGACAATTGCATATAAGATATGCATGGGATTCAAGCTGTGGTTTACGATGCTAAGATATAATGATAATAATAATAATTATAATAATAATTATTTTTATTATATTATAATAATAAATATGAAATAATAATTAATATATTCATAATTACAACAACCTCGCCAACGTTACTACCGATCCTTCCAACACTCTCCAGCCTCTCTCTTCGTTAGCGACCAGGTTGATAACCTTCCCATCTCACCTACCCTGCTACGAGTTGTTAGAGTCTTCAGGGTCGGGCGAATTCTCAGACTCGTGAAATCGGCCAAGGGAATAAGGACGCTACTATTTTCACTGGCCGTATCCATGCCGGCTCTCTTTAACATCGGTCTTCTGCTCTTCCTCGTCATGTTTATCTACTCGATATTCGGGATGTCCTTTTTTATGCACGTAAAACACACCAAAGGCATTGATGATATGTTCAATTTCGAGACTTTCTTCAGGAGTATGATTATCCTCTTCCAGATATCTACATCTGCAGGTCATTCTAAGGATTCAATTGCTCTTTCATTTGAATGTTTTTTTTTGTAAAATTCGTTTGTTTATTCATTTGTTTTTTCATTCATGCATTCATTCATTCATTCATTCATGCATTCATTCATTTATTCAATCAATTGCTTAATAATCTATTCATCAATTCATTCATTCATTCGTTCGTTCGTTCGTTCGTTCATTCATTCATTCATTCATTCATTCATTCATTCATTCATTCATTCATCCATCCATCCATTCATCCATCCATCCATCCATCTATTCATTCATTCTTTCGGCCCCACTTGAAAGGTTGGGACGGGGTACTGGCGGGCCTAATGAACGAGGAAGACTGCGACAAGACCCCCTCTGATGTTCGGCCGAACGGGGACTGCGGGGACTCCGGGCAAGCCGTGGTCTTCCTCGTCACCTACTTGGTCATCAGCTTCTTGGTGGTCATCAACATGTACATAGCCGTCATTCTGGAGAATTTTTCTCAGGCCACTGAAGATGTTCAGCAGGTTGGATGGATGGATAAATGAGTGGTTTGGAGGTGTGATTGATTGGGATGTGCGTAGCGTGTGTGTGTGTGTGAGAGAGAGAGAGAGATTGGTTGTGAGTGTGTATGTGTGTGAAATCAATCAATCAATCAATCAACCAATCAATCAACTAATCAGTCAATCAATCAACTAGTTAATCAATCAGCCAACTTGCTAACCATTAAACCATTCAGGGCCTAACGCAAGACGACTTTGACATGTATTATGAGATTTGGGAAAAGTTTGACGAAAACGCTTCCCAGTACATCCCTCTATCCGATTTGAGTCGGTTTGTCGACGAGTTGGAAGCACCGCTTCGACTACCGGCACCGAATACTTTCAAACTCGTATCTCTCAATATACCGATCTGTGAGAACGATAGGGTATTTATCTTTTGGTATTTTTGTGGTATATTTTTTTTGTTCAGATGTTTTCATATTTGCTATTAAAAAAAGACGTGATTGAATTATTTATTTATCATGTTTTATGATTTAAACACACGCACACATATCCCAGACACACGACACACATATCCCAGACACACACACAAACAAACACACAAACACACACACACACACACACACACACACACACAGGTCCACTGTCTAGACATCCTAGATGCCCTGACGAAAAACTACCTGGGGACTGGTGAGGTGGCAGACGATCTGGCCGACATAAAGAAGGGTCCAGACCGGAAAGACTACCAACCAATCAGCAGCACCCAACGCAGACAGAGGGAAAATTACGCGGCAAAAGTTATTCAAAATTGCTGGAGGAAGTACCGAAGGAAAAAAAATGGCGATGGCGATGATGATGATGATGATAAAAAAAAGTTAAAAGGGGATGAGGGCGCTGAAAATGGCGAGAAAAATAAAAATAAGGATGTGATTATAGATGTGGGTGATAACGGTAATGACGTCACGATGTTCGTTCAGCCAATCAGCGAACCTCCTCCGTACGCTATGGCCGCCGATGACGTCCCTGATTTGATTGTTATTTGATGACCTGATTGGTTTGTTGGTTGATCGGTTGGATTGGTTCTCTCTTTCATTTATCCATTCGTTCGTCTATTTACTCATTCCATCATTCATTCCGTCACTCAGTTGTTTGTTCGCTCATTCATTCATTCATTCATTCATACACTCACTCATTCACTCATTTATACATTCATTCAATTTTATTTGGTAGCCTGGCATGAAAAAGTTTCTTGCTAAAAAAAATCATCCCATTAAAATCGAGATTATTTCATTCCTTGATAAGAATACAAATAACAACATAATAAAATTATGATTTTTTTGATAATAATAATAATAATTATTATTATTATTACTTTTTTTTATTGTTATAGTGATTTTTACCTTTTTTCCTACATGAATTTATATGATGTACGTGTATGCTGTTTGAGATGTTTGTGTACGTATGTATGTATGTATGTATGTATGTATGTATGTATGTATGTATGTATGTATGTATGTATGTATGTATGTATGTATGTATGTATGTATGTATGTATGTATGTATGTATGTATGTATGTATGTATGTATGTATGTATGTATGTATGTATGTATGTATGTATGTATGTATGTATGTATGTATGTATGTATGTATGTATGTATGTATGTATGTATGTATGTATGTATGTATGTATGTATGTATGTATGTATGTGTGTATGCGTGTATGTGTATGTGTGTGTGTATGTATGTATGTATATTGTATGTACATGTTTTATTGTCAATTTTTCTGCTTATAACAATCAAAATAATAATAATAACAAATAATAATAATAATGAAATAAAAATATATAAGAATTGCTACGTTGATTACGATGAACATCGTGTGACTATATTGTATATATCAACATTCTTACCTTTTAATATATCTACTTTAGAATAATAACAATATTAATATTATAAGTAGTAGTAGTGGTAGTAATAGCAGCAGCAGCAGCAGCTGTTGTAGTAGCAGCAGCTGCTGTAGTAGCAGCAGTAGTTGTAATAGTAGCAGCAAATTTTTTTTATCGGATCAGTTAAATATATAAGTAGAAGTAATTCATTCGCTCAATTTGATTGCTCGGTGAATAAATAATATTAATAATAAAAATAATAATAATTACGATTATTATTTATTATTGTTGTTATTATTATTGCTATTATTTGTATCAAACGCTTCAGTGAGAGTGTTTATAAAATTTCTAGAATGGAATGAATTGCGAACCTTCATGATAAGAAGAATAATAAAAATAAGAATAATAATAATAATAATATGAAGAAGAAGAATAAGTTAATATCATTAATAATAATGACGTCATTATCGGTCTTGTTCATAATGATAATATAGAGTGTTAGTTATAATAAGACTGATGATGATGATGATGATGATGATGATGATGATGATGATGATGATGATGATGATGATGATGATGATGATGATGATGATGATGATGATGATGATGATGAGAAAGAGAATAATAATTATAGTTATAATAATAATAATTTGTTTCGAAGAGATCGAACTCAAGAAAAATACTAACATATCCTAATTTTGCCATATTTTTATTTTCAACTTTTCTTTGTTTTTGTTATTATTATTATAGTTATTATTATTATTATTATTATCAGTGTTTTTGTTGTATCTATTGTCGTTGTTGCTATTATTGTTATTATTTTTTATTAGGATGGATAATATCATCCGATGAATTCTTTAGTCGATATTGATATGACACAATTTCATGCAGACTATGTAATTCGTTTGTTTAATTATACTTAAGTTCATTCATCCATTAATCTGCCAAATCATTAATTCATTCATTAATTCATTTATTAATTCTTTAATTAATTATTAATTCATTCATTCATTCATTCATCATTATTTTGATGAAACATTTTTATAAATATGGCCACAGTTATAAACGCTGCTTTACGTGTCTTTAATTTATTTTTAGATGTATATTCAGTTTTTTTGGTGACATTAATAATAATAATAATAATAATCATAAAATATTTAATAATAATAGTATGTTATTATTATTGTTATTGTTGTTGTTGGTGGTGGTGGTTATGTGATTTAGATTTCATTTTGAATTTTTTTTTCTATTTTTTTCCTCTATGTTTTGCGTCCTAACACAAAATCCGTCTGATTTTTGTTTTGTTTTTTTATCTGTATGTATGTATGTGTGTGTGTATGTATGTATGTGTATGTAAGAAGAAACAGAGCCACATCCAGAGATCAGTTGGATGTCTCTTGCTGAACAAACAATCTGCCTCGCTTTGAAATCACCTTCTTTCATACTGAAAATTATTCAGATGTGCCAGACAGTTCACATATAAACACATCACGATGTGAGTTATATCGACGAGCCAAGTAACACGCTAAGCCGAATCTGGGAGTGTTGAGTAATTGGAAGCCTTACTTACGTTGCACACGAGCTCGTCTGTTAACCATTTAAACTCGCATTCCTTTTTCTTCCTACATAACCATCTTCAGTAAGACGCTCGTTCGGCTGTACGTCCTCCTATGTTCTTCATACAACTCGATCGCTTTTTACCTGCCAAACTCAAATCCTTCAAAAAGCTTTACACTGAACAGCCAACAACAACTCTTGCACCGACCTCAACTGCGTACAACAAACAGCTTAACCCACGTTGTTCTATCTCACCAACAAGCTCTCTTCCTACTTGGCTGTTTCTATAGTGTGACTTGCTGATATATCATTCGGTACATTTATTTCGACAAAAATAACAGTGATGTGTGTGTGTGTGTGTGTGCGTGTGCGCGCGTGCGTACAAATGTATGTATGTATATATGTATGTACGTATGTATGCATGTATGTATGTATGTATGTATATTCGTTTAAATTTTTTCAATTTTGCCATTTTAAGATCAAATCAATCGAAATACAAAACTTGTATGCACTTGTATCTATACAATATTGTACATACATACTTAAACACATACATATATACATTTATTGACATACAAAAAAATAAACATATATATATATATATATATATATATATATATATATTTATTTATATTATGCATTATGTTCTTATTTAAATCAATTTCACTTGCTTATTAATCAATTCGTTTTCGTCAATAATATTATAATTAAGGTTAATTATTATTATTATTATTATTATTGTTATTACATTCGTTTTTCATTCAATCATTCAATTCAGATGTTTGTCCATTCATCCATTCATTCATTTCTTAATTCAACCATTTGGTCATTCATTCATTCGTTCGTTCGTTCGTTCGTTCTTCCGCTCATTCAATCAATTTTTTTCATATACGAATAGGTTTGCCTTATCGTAATGTTTTTTTTTTGTTTATTTTTAATGGCTTAAGAATAAAAATGTACTTTGTGCGAATTTGTGATGAGTTTTTTCAATTTTTGGTATCGTGTTCGTGTGTATCCGCGTCTTTGTATACACATTGCGTTTGTATATATAAATATATACATGTGTATACGTTAATACATAGTGTACAATACGTTATACAATATATACATATATATATATATATACGTGTGTATTTGTGTGTGTGAGTGTGTGTGAGTGTGTGTGTGTGTGTGTTTCATTGTGGGTATTTGTTTGATAGAGAGGAAGAAGAGAGAGATGAGAAAGAAAGATAAAAGAGAGAGATGAACAAATGAACGATTTTTGAAAACATTTTTCACGTCAATTTTTTCAATATCTTCAGCTATCTATTTCAGAAAATTATGGAAAAAAAAGCACTCACACACACACGCACACACACGCACGCACACACACGCGCATGCAACTTTTTTGAGTCAGTTTTTTTAGACTTTTTCAGATACTTTTTTTGATATATGTATGTATACTTTGTACGTGTATACTTATATACACATATATATATATATATATCCTATATATATATATATATATATATATATATATATATATATACGTGTGTATGTGTGTGTATGTTTGTGTGTATGTATGTATGTATGCATGTGTGTGTGTGTATATATGTGATTAATTTCATTTTATAGATATATTTCCGTATGTTTCAACTATTAAACGCGGTTTATTCTATGAACTTTCTTTTTTTAATTGCATTTTTACGAAAAAAATATGAAAAAATAAAACTATGGTAATTGTGATGATGATGACTTTTAAGATGATGATGAAGGTGATGATGTTTCATAATGATGATGATCATGATAGTGATAATGGTGGTTTTTATCGCAATGATGATGATGACGATGACTTTGGTGGTTATGATAATCTGTAAATAGCACTATTACTCAAATGCTTGCTTCTATTTATTCATTCGTTCGTTCGTTCTTTTTTCACTCATCTACTCATTCATTCGTTCGTTCATTCATTCATCTACTCATTCATTCGTTCGTTCATTCGTAATATTGATAATAACAATAATAATAATTATAATAACAATAATTATCATAACAATAATATTAATAACATAATTAACAATGATATCAATTCTAATTTTATGTGCTCAGTTTACTTTTAATCAAACAATTTCATCACGTACAAGCACACAGACACACATACACAATATATATATATATAATATACATATATCTGCGTGTATGTGTATGTATGTGTGTGTATGTATGTGTGTGTATGTATGTGTGTGTATGTATATATTTTTTTCCATTGGTTTCTTCGAATTTATCTGTCTGTTCATGCGTTTTTCTACTTCTACACACATTGATCACCAGAGATGAATGAATAACAAACTTACTCACTCTTACTATCTGCACCCTTATATATATATATATCTATATATATATATATATATATATATATATATATATATATATATAAGAATATTTTATCATTCTTATATATATGTTGGATTGAGACTGTCAGAAATGCAATTATTGATGAAAATTACAGCATGTTCGGCGTCAGTTAGCTTTCTGTTGTTTATTTTTTTCATATTTCTAATGGTAGACCGTAAATCATTGTCAAGTTTCTTGAGTTAAAAACCAAAATTTTTTATTATTTTAATCATGATAGAACATTTAACAACAAAAAGCTTTTTTCGGTATTTCTTTACCATCATCGGTGTTCGAATTGATACGTTGTGTGTGTGGCCAGATGCTCAAGTATATATTTATACTGTGTCTCTACTTTGTTGATTCCTTGTTGCTTCAATGTGAATACTTAACGATCATTCAATTAGTTTTTCAATCTTCAACTTTGTGCGATATGACACTTTTACGTGTTTTCATTATCGATGATTCATTCCTCTGTTTCTAAATTTCTCAGTGGGAAGGATTGCAATTGCCCGTTGTTGGTTGTTTATTATCGGATGTCATTCTTCTACGAGTATTGATTCGGCTAGTCGTAAATTACAATGGTTGTTCATTGTAATGTAAGATTTCAACACTGTGG